GCGCAACAACAAAACATAGTATATCAAAAAAAAAGAGAAAAAAAAACAAAGAAAAATAACAACAAAAAGTGGAAGAGAAACAAAAAAAATGAGAGAACATGAGAAATATTTTCATAATACTAATTGCATCGTCACAATGTCATTTTCAGCGAGCGGAAGGAGAAATGTGCGGCCCATGGCTGGTGGGGCTGCGGCTGGGGCTGTCTGTCAGAGGACAACGTTGACGAGCAGGACGAGAACGAGAACGAGATGAGTTGAAATGAGATGAGATGAGATGAAACTGAATTTATGCTAAATGCAGCCAAGCAAAAGAAACAACAACAACAACAAAGACGCTGCTGATGACGACAACGACGCCAACCGTTGCATAAATCCTGGCAGCAAGGACTCGACTCGACTCGAGCTCGGGCTGCTGCGCGGGCTCGGGCACCCGGTTGACTGCCTGGCACAAAAGAAAATGAGTTGAAAAAAAAAGTAATTAAAAAAGCAAAGCAACAACAATTCCACTGAGCCAAGCACGAAACTACGAATACGCTACAAACAACCAGCTCAGATCGAACCAGCTAGATATATCTATAGCATTATATATTAGTAGTGCGACTGAGCACCAAATGTTGAACAGCAAAACTTGGTGATAAACAAAATATTTATAAATTTCTATATACCTTTATGGTATATAGAAGAGCTTAAGAATAAAATATATATTCTTATAAATTGCAGAAAAGTAATATACAAATATAACATTAATTTAAATAATTTCCATTTATTCTCTTTTTTTTTTTAATTTTATTTATGAAATATTTGATTTGTGACTTGGCTAAGCTATATTAATAAAACAGAATATTTAATTCAATAATATATAATAAAATTATATGAATTTTATGATGAACTCATATGTCCCATATAAAATTGTTGTCTTTACAGATTTATCACATAAATAGAAGCGTGCACTTTAACTATTTGAAATAATAACAAATATTTAGGTATTTATCACTAAACATTTATTATTATTATTATCGATTAGGTATTAGCTAATAAAATCGTCGATCATATGCAATTTCTTTTCTTCTTCTTACTTAGTCTACTTATAAAATCTGCTTATACACTCTTCTTATAAATTCATCTTATACATATACACTCTTCCTATAAATTCATCTTATACTTAATATACTTATACACTCTTCTTATACGTCTACTTATACACTTTTCTTATACACATTACATATACACTCCTCTTATATACTTTACTTATACACTCTTCTTATACACTTTTCTTATACAATCTTCTTATACATTCTTATACATTCTTCATATACACTCTTATACACTCTACTCATTCACTCTTCTTTTACACTCTTCTTTAACACTCTTCTTATACACTTTTACTTATACACTCTTCTTATACACCCTTCTTATATACTCTTCTTATACACTCTACTTATACTATCTATTTATACACTCTATTTAGGCACTCTTCTTATACACTCTTATACACTTTACTTATATACTCTACTTATACTTTCTTCTTATACACTTTTCTGATATAATCTCTAGGTATCCAATATGAAGTGCATCTTATAGTACCCGACATCTCACGTAGGGTACAAAAAATTCAAATGCATTAACACAACGTAACAATGTGGGCAAATGTTAACATGGAGCGCTAATTTGCCACATGCCTCCTGCCACATGCCGTTGCTGCAGCAGTTGCAGTTGCAGTTGCTGCTCCATGTTCCAGTTGCCGTTGCCGTAGCTGGTGACAAGTAGGGAGATGCCTGTGACACATATGACTGACAGCCATGACAGAAGTTGTGGCAATTTGAATTGACACTGGCTACGGCATAACGGTAAAATGTTAAGAGTTTAAGGCAATGAAAATAGATACTCAATTTAAGCATTTTAATGATTATTAATAAATTTGATCACAAATAGTAACAACATAAATAAATAGAAACACATTAACAGTTAGCATAGATACACGCCCCAAAATATGCAATGAATTATTGTCAGCTGCGACGCCATTTTATGCAAAGCAACAACGTGTGGGTGTGTGTGTGCATATGTGTATCTGTGGCATGTGCTGCGAGCATATTTAATCAAAATGCAGCTCCAAGTATACCAACAACAACAGCAGCAACAGGGGCGCGCTATAAAAATAATTAACAGCCAGCTAAAGCTGCACGTGCGAGCAGGATGGCAAAACAATGTGGCGCATTTGCACAGGCGCTTGTTGCCAGTGAAAGACCAATCAGCGCGACAAGACAATGGACACACACACGCATACGCATACACACACACACACACACACACACGCACAGGCAGACAGACAGCTGCTGCAACGCAGACAAATGCTCGCTGCTCAGGTGAAACGTGTTGCCTAATAAACTTCAGTAGCAAAAATAAGTAATAAGCGCAACAACAACAATGTGAACACAGCAACAACATCAAAATTATACATTTAAAATGGCGGGCACAGGGAGGAGATTGCCGACTGCCGACTGCCGACTGCCGACTGCCGACTGCCAGCTGCCAGCCAGCCAAAAAACGAAAGAAAAGAAAACGAAACAAAACAAAAGGCAAACATGAAATTATTTTCATAATTTCAATAAGACGCTGTCAACGCTGACGTTCATCTCGTTGGTCAACCCCCATACACAAACACACACACATACAGCCGCACACACACATACACACAGAGAAACATAACTGTGCTCGCTTATGATTGGCTTCGACGCTAAAGAAGCAAATGAAATAAAGCAACAACACGAGCATAATGCAGGCTAGCGCTAACTGTGAAGGAGGGGCGGGCGGCAGCTGCCACGCCTATGCCTCAGTGTTAATAAATAAATATAATTTTAGCGCAAGCGCAGGCAACACACACAAGCAAAAGCGACAGCAAGCGAAACAACAACTACAACAACAATGCCAGCCAGCAAAACAATGTATGCAAATGAGAAAATTACATCCCTTCATTTGTTTGTACCGCACACTCATGCACACTCACACACACATTCACACACACAGACGCCCACACTCACACACACCAGCTAGCATGCTCGCATTGTTGAGATTTTTACTGTTGTTTCCGCAACTCTGTACGGCTGCCAGGTGGCATCAGCTGTGGTGGCAACCTTATTTCTGTGCGCCTTACTTACGCTTCTTTACCCAGAAGCGCAAGCAGCAACGAAAACAAAAAGTCAGCAACTATCTCTATCTCGCTCTGTCTTTCTCACTCACCCTCTTTGCTTTTTCTCTCTCCTTTTTTCTTGGTCTCTCTTTCATTCTCTCTCTCTGTCTTTATCTCCCTCTCTGTCACACTCTATCGCTCTCTTTCTCTGACTATCTTTATCTAACTGCATATCGCATATCTGTGCGCTTGGGTGTGTGTGTGCGTCTGTGTGAACGGGGTGTTGCCGTATTGTTTAAGTGGAGACGTCGGTGCCGTTTCTCAACTGCTGGCAGCATTAAGTGATTTGAATTTTATTATTCACAGGTGCATCTGATACATGCACGCACATATACATGCACATATGCTTACATATGGATAACAGTGGAACAACACCAATAAATACGACGTAAAAATAACCTTTTAGTTTTATGTAATTACTATCCTAATTAAATCGTAAGTGGCTGTATTGGAAGCTCCTTGGCCGATATTGGAATAATACTAATAATATAAAGAAAAAAAACAAAATGAACAAAACAAAAATTAACTAACAAAATTATATACTGACGAAGAGCAGATTGGAAGACATACAAGCAGATTCACGGATAGATTGCAACGACCAAGAGGTCTAATCCCTGCCAGACCCTTAAGACGGCTTAAACGGCAAGGCTTTGATAAAACGATGGGAATGCAGTAAACTATCGACTTTTAGTTCCTCATAATGTGACTGAGGTTTGGCTCTAATTCCATATATATACATGTGTTTTACAACTTCTACACTTAATAATAAGGAAACAAAAAAAAAAAAATTATACAATGTGTGAAAAATTATTGCCTACTTCTTAGCGTACCTCAACCCACTGTGCAACGTTCGTAGCCTACCCAACTGCGCTGCCACAACCCGCCTCCAATTGCAATGCAAGTCGTAAAGCTAACGGCGTTTTTGAGGTTTTTGTGCTTGTGCCGTAATTTAACGAAGTCAAAACGAGAAAACAATAAAAGCCGACGCAGCTAGCAGAACGGTAACAAGAACAACAGCAGCAGCAGCATCAACAGCGCCATGTTATTGTATTGGTGTGGGAGAGTAGTGCACTCATTAAGAGGCAAGCTCTCGGGACTTCTCCTTGAGTGTGCGTGTATGCATACATGTGCATTATATTGTTGTGTGTTATATTTGTTTATGTTTACAACGAGCGAATGAGCGAGCTCAGCGAACAGAGGATGCGCGCGCTCCTAGCCACCTGCCATTCTAAGTGGTTAACATCGTGAGCGAGACGGCTTGTGGCGAATTCACCAGCAGAGCGAGTGCGAGAGCAAATATTCAGCTGTAGATGTCGAAATATTAATGATAATAACTTTATGTACGTTTAACATAATTATGCTAATGTACATTACAACCAGTCGCCTCGCAGTGGGCAGCTTTTTTTTCAACTAACAACCACGAAAACTTAACATTTTAAGTGTGGGCGGGTGTGTTTGTGTGAGTCTGCGAATATCAATTAGCTATAAATTACAATGGGCATTCTTCTAATTATTGCCCACACATAAGAGCATGTTTGTACGAATGCTTCGAATCGCAGGCGCAGCCACAATACAACTCTCACAAACACAAAAACATTTATATATGTATATAAATATGTATATGTATGTGTGTGTGTACGTATGTCTATGTGCAGTAGTTGATTTGACTGCTGCTGCTGCCACTGCGATTGCATAAAAGCCAAAGGACGCTGCCTGCACTCCCGCAGTCGCTGGCCAAACGCGCACTTCGAAAGTCCACTTTTTTTAGTTGGCTCTAGCGCCATCTACCGTGCATTATCCAAAATAGAAATCTACATTTTGCGTGTGTTGTGCAAAATCTTTTTGTTCTTTTTTTGTGCTTTGTGATTGAATGAGAATAGTGAAAGAAAACAAACAATTAGAAACGGAAATTGATAAATAAGAAAAACTTGCATTATCAAGTTTAATGGCAGGGCCATTCATATCGCCGCTTCCGGGCGATCTGCTCACGGAGTACATGTTCGGCCGAAGGCGCCAGAGACGGAATCGCACCACATTTACGCCACAGCAGCTGCAGGAACTGGAGGCCCTCTTCCAGAAGACTCACTATCCGGACGTCTTTCTGCGAGAGGAAGTCGCGCTGCGCATTAGCCTCAGCGAGGCACGCGTCCAGGTGAATCAATGCAGCCGCCAACCATGCTTAAATGGCCACGGTGCAGCTTAATGTGCAAATATTGTTCATTTACGAGGATCATTCGTATACGGCACATACCAAAGCGTAATAGAATTTTGTCCTTTTTTTTAAGTACTATTCAATGTGATTTCAGGATTTTATTTAATATCAAAAATTACAGTTAGTCGAGAAGTAATTAGCTATAGATGAGCTGAAAAGCTAAGTTTATTTTAGCTAAAAATATAAAGGAATTCTATATATTTTAACAGTTGGTTACGTATATGAAATGGCAGATTCATAGATGATACCAAGATAATGAAAAATGTGTGGAAATTTAGTTAATAAAACTTTGTAAAGGTAGAGCTGCATTATGTTTATGGGAGTCGGATATATAGAATTATTGATGAAATTCTATATGCATAAATGCTTGTGCAAAAATTATACTATATGAAATGGAAGAATCATATTATTTACAGTTACAGTTTTTATATACCACACAGAATAACGCCTTGCAGCGATAGCCGTGTGTGTTCTATGCGATCGAGTTATTTGACTTTGGTATTTTGTATTACAGGTGTGGTTCCAGAATAGGCGTGCAAAGTGGCGTAAGCAAGCGCGCCTGCAGCTGCTCCAAGATGCATGGCGGATGCGCTGCCTCAGTCTGGGCAATCCGCCAGTTATAGGCGGAGGTAGCGGTTCGAATAGGCCAACCAATGGTACAGCGGGCAACGGCGGCAATGGCAACAGTCAGATGCCAGAGAATTTATCTGCTGGCAATACACCGGGCAGCAAGGATGCATTGATCAATAGTGATGTGGGCGTCAATGATGTGCCTGTAATAGCTAATGGACAAGGCGCTGGCAACTTTACCATGATGCATCCAGCTTTTCAACAGCAACAACAACAGCAGCAGTCAACGCATTCACAGTCCGAGCATGAGAAGCTATCGAAAACCTATACCGAGCTGAAGCTGTACAAGGAGCCGACAGCGCATGGTGTCTCCGAAATGGATCTGGGTGGCATGTCTGCCCTTGGGCCCACCTCCGATGAAGGTTCTGATGGCTCTGATTCTGAGGAAATTGATTTGACATCGGGTGCCTGCATAGACTTCTCTCAGAGCAGCAAACTGCAACAGCAACAGCAACAACAGCAACAGCAGGCAGCAGTTTTGGCGGCGACACAGCCGCAGACCTCAAATGGCGTGCATTAGAGCTGAGGGTGTATATAGCGAACAATAAATGATGCATGTAATGTTAATGTGCATTTCAGCTTATTAATTTCCCTTTTTTTTTTAAGAATTACAGACACAATTAAAACTTAAATATAGATTAAAGCTTACCGTCTTCTTTTCATATTTAAATTCAAATTCAAGTTGAGCCCTTATCGAAAATTGATATCGATTAGTCTTAGTAGCAATTGATAATGTGTTAACATAGCTTATGTTAACCAACAGTGCGGTCACTGCCTGTAAATGTACATAGTTTTTTATGCTCACAAAATCTTAGCTTAGAGTGAATTACAGATGAAAACTTAACTCGAAATGATGGAAAATAAAAGTATTGCAATTTGGTAAGTACAATCCCAGTTATCCATTGCAACCCAGTTTACGAGTAAACCAGTGAAATAATACAATCTGCTCTGTGACAGCTGCCAGCGAATATATATTTCTGAATATCAAAGGCAAATTAAATTTACTTATATTCTTCAATGTATCATATCATTAAATATTCGTACAAATAGGGTATGTATCTTTCCCCAAAACACACACTCATAGTTGACTAAATAATCATAAATGATTGTAATATTACTAGACCTGATGTCGGGCCGGTTACTATGCTTGACGGCACGTTTACGTATATTACGAAAAGAACTCCTAGTTAAAGAAAATAAATTTACATCAATACCGTGCCGGGGACTTCCCGAAATATAAAAATCACTTCATTTTATTTATCCAATAATATGGACATAAGAGGCCAAAATCTGCCGAGATTGTAGCTAAATCTCCGCCGTTTTACATTATGACTCCATTAACGTTGACGCAAAAAAGTCTTATAGTCTATTTTTTTAAATATTTAAAAAATAGGACACTTGATGTTAACAGTGCCAAAATGAGCAGAACATCGATACAAGCAAAGCATGAGTCTCATAGCACGATGTATCTATCGTATATAAATCGAGTTCAATTAAAAGTTTAGCAAATATCTACAATTTGCAACTGATAAATGATTTTAAAAACCCCTAAGCCGGAATTGTGACACTTTTTGTAATAAGTTATGAAGCTTAAATATATAAAAATATATACTTGGATAATAGAATGCAAATAACATAAATGCAGAAAGTTATCCAGCTCATAAAGGTCTCAATACGATTGCCATTATGAATAATTAAAAATATACTGAAGTTCAATGATGATGGACAATCATTAATTGTAAATATTATAAATTATGCAATTTGAATTTCAGTATATTTTGAATTATTCATAATTGCAATCTCTAAAACAAACAACTTAAAATTGAATTTGTATTTAGTATGTTGCTAAATGCAATAATTCAATACATTGAAATATATTAACGGTTTTTCTACCATACGATAGTTATGAGTATATGTAATCGATAGTCCATAACTACTCACTTGGTACTGCTAGTCAGAGACATTTCTTAAATAACTGAACTAAAATAGTTTAAAGGTAAATTCATTTATTTATTTCACATGGCATGTTAACAATCGCATACAATAATGACCTGCAAGAGATTGATAAGATTTCCCACCAATAAATTCGGTGCACTCTTAAATTCCACAGTAAAGTTGTTTATTTTTGTAGCCCGCAATGTTAATATCAATGTTAAGTGTTTTTAATTTTGTTTAATAAGTGAAATCAATTATCAACATATGTATAACTGTATGTAGTTTTCTCCTCGCTTATTGCTCATTTTCCGCTTAACGTCTAATACATAAATAATTTAAAACTTACTTAACTATAAATTGTTTCAATCGTAGCCGATTCTGCTGGACTCTTCACATGAAAGTAAAACACATTTTAAAATGCAAATAAACAATACTTTTGGATAATTTCAATTAATCGGTTGAATCGAAACAAAGCTTCACAATTCACGAGCAAATTGCTTACAATAATTTACATTTAACAAATAATTAATTTAAGTTCGTTCAAATATTAACACAGGGCAAATGAAAAAACCGAATATCATCATTAAAAATAAACAATACGCACAGAAAACGTCAACGAATTTGAAGGGCCTTTTAGTTTAGTAGTCATTTGTGTTGAAAAAAAAAATTATCTTAAGTTCTAAGAGTTGTTACTGTATGTGTAAATATAATGCTAAAAAATACAATAAGAAAGCACTTGAATTTCTCTAATGACAAAGGCAACTTGGTGTTCGTCTTGTTTCTATTTTACATATCTCCTCTCTCTTTCTATCGTTCTCTGTTCTGGGCCGACAATAAGCTGCTTGCTGTGCACACGTGTTTGGCTGCTGTTACACTTAACCGCTGCAAAAAATTAAAAAATGCAAAAAACAACAAGAGTTAATATACAGTAATGATGTGTATGTGTGTGTTTGTGTGTATGTGTAGGTGCAAGAACACGCTGAATGCTTTTTACAACACTTAAGCATAAGGTACATAGAGATAAAGTGAGAGGGAGAATTCAAATGATCAGCGTTAAGAGAGAGAGAGAGAGAGAGATGTGCAAGGGTAATCGACTGGAAATCCCTGAAGCACCAATTGAAACAGTTACGGATGGCGACAGAGGAAAGCGCATTTCTCTTACTCTTTGTTGCTGTTGTTTGTTATTTTAGCTGTTGCTGCTGCTTCTGTTGCTGCTGTTGTTGTTGTTGTGGCTGATTGTTGATTCTTGTTATTGTTGTTGCTGGGGACGATGATGATGCTGCGGCTGTTGCTGCTGCTGCCGATCGGGGGTCACAGGGGGTGTTGCTGATCTTGGTTTTAGCTGTTGTGTGTTTTGAGTGCATATGAGTTTTGTTGTTGCTTGCTTTTGTTAGGGGTGCGTGCAACTGCATGCCGAAAATTCGCAGCACTTACTTTAAAAAGTCATTCATATTGATGTAATTTTTATAACTAAATAAAGAGAAATACATAAATGTATAAAATTGCATGTATAAAAAAGGAACAAACTAAAACTAAACAAAAAACAATTATATATGAAGCACAATCTGTAGAGCATAAGCACAATGCATTTGGTGGACATGCAGCGGGATGAGGTTGTGGTGTTGGTGTTGGTGGTGTTGGAGTAACAACGCAACGCAAAAGCAGAACAGAACAAAACAAAACATAAAGGAATAGACAATAACAGAGAGCAAGAGAACGGAAGTGTGTGTATGGCTGAAGCACGAGTTCCATGTGAAAGAGTTATGACCATGTACACATATATATGCGTGTGTATGTATGTATGTCTACGTGTGCATACCTTTTGGCCGATGTGGTTCGCGAATACGGATTCTGCAAGATCTTCGGGTGCGTCTCCATGACACGCAACAACAAATTATCCAAATAATCCTCCAGCTCCTTGACGCGCTGGCGTTGAAGCAACGCTTCATTCTCCATGCCATTGGCAATCAGCATCAGCTCCTGCAAGAGGAACAGAGAGAGAGAATTAGAAATAAAAGCAATGAAAAAGAGACGTAGCGACACTCACCTCCCGTGACTTTCCCTCATATTTTTTGGCCAACTGTGCAGAGATCTCGGAACGACGATCCGCATGCGAGCCCGACTTCTCGTGGCCAATAATAATGCGTTCCGTGGACTTGGGACTGGGCGAATTGCTATCCGTATCGTTTTGTTTATCTGCGGCATATACAAATAAAGCAAATTAACAACACAATTCAACAGTTATTCCAAAAATGGGGTGCAAGAGATGCAAACAGGAGTGTGAGCTTCATCGAACCATCATTACATGTTCTTTTGGTTCTTCTCATTAGAGTGCGATAGCAATCTATTACTGAGATCTCCAACTGGTTCGAGTTGGTGATGGGCATCTGCTGTCGCAGAGCGTGTAGTATAATAGTGAACTTGAAATCGAATTGGAACAGTTCATTTGGAACTGGATCCAGCTAACATATGTTGTGCTGGCAGCTCGGAGCAGAAGCAACAAAAATAAACCAAAAAAAAAAATACAAAAAAAAAATAGAAGTTATATATTAGAGACAATGCGCACAGCAGGAGAGTTTTCAAAAGCAGATAGTGTGAGAAATTAGATGAGGAATGCGTAGGTAAATATTGAAATTTCACTAGGATGACACAGAGATGACAGCAGATTTGGAAAATTGCTTGATTCGATTAGCTTGGTTCGATTGTTGGTTGGATTGAAGCGTTCCGACTCCACCAGCGTTTTACAACATTGCGCACACACATGCCGCACTCCCCTGCACCGCCGGACAGGCTATACGTTCAAGGTACAAGATCTGATTGAGGTGAGTAGTTGGTGGATTAGTTTGGTTTGGTTTGGTTTGGTACGGTTTGCTGGATAGGTTCAATGCTGCTCGTTTATTTCTGAGTTCTGTTTGCTTGTACTGTATTGGTGGTAACAGCTCTAATCGCTCTTTGTCATATTGTGGGTAGAACAGCTCACCTCGCTTATTGCCGTATTTAAATTTGCCCAGTCGCTTCTCCCAGCGCTCACCGCTGCCGCTGCCTCCGCCAATGCTGTTGAACTCCTTGGGCGATTGTTCAGGCGTTAGCAAGTTGTGCTCTATGCTTGGATCAACATCGGCCATGGCCACCGCAACGGGCGCCGCAATAGCAATGGGCGCGGCAATGGTAGCAACAACGGGTGCGGCAACAGCCGTGGTCTCCTCCTCCTCCTCCTTGCCAATTGCCTGCCTCTGCGCTAGTGGCTTTGATGGCTGCTCCTCCAGGGAGGTGGAGCGCTTGGCGAAGCTCAAGAGTCTTTGATCCTCCTCACGCCGTTTGGCATCACGGCGTCGCTGCTCCTCCTGCTGTAATTCCAGCTCTTGCTGCAAAGCCGCCTCCTCTTCACGCAACCGCTGCTCATTCAAACGCAACTCGGCCTCAAGGCGTTCGTCTTCTTCGACGCGTCGCTGGCGCGAGGCTTCCTCCTCGGCGGCAGCCTCTGCCCTTACCAGTGCCGCCGTTTCCGCTTTCAGTTGCTCGTTATTTGCTGCACGCGGTTGGGGCTTGGGTCGCTCACTTGGCAACGGCTGTGACTCCACCGGATTCGGCCTAGTCAAAGGTTCGTGCGACAGCTGCTCATCTGCAAAGATGGCTGTGCTGTTGCGCTGCTCGAACTTGGCGAAGCTGGCATTGAGTGAATCAAAGTTGCGTGGCTCCACGTCCGGTGAAAAGAGCGAGTTGCTGTTGCTGTTGCTCTTGCTGTTTCTCTCAGCTGATGGCCGCGACGGCGGCGCTGCCTTTGTTGGCTCCTCAACCACCGGCTCAACATCTTCTTCGGCGTCTGAAGAGCTCGATGAGCTGCTTGTCGAAGGAACCGGTGGTGGTTCCTCGCTAGTCGTCGGCAACGGAACGCGCGTCTCCCAACTGCGACGCTTCAAGGAATCACTGCTGCCAATCTCCAAATACTTTCCGCCACCATATAACTTTGATTCCCACTCATCCACCTGGTTAGGGGCCACCGACTGTGGTGGCACCGTCTCCAGTTGTATTTGACCATTGCCTTCGGGTTTCTGATCCTTTTCCCGCTCCGACTCCAGCTCTTGCTGTGTCTGCTGCGTGCGTGGCGGCTTTGAGGGAGGTGGCAGAGTGCGTGCACGAACGCTGAAATCGAGCTCAAGCTGTTCCATCTCCGCAACGATTGGATCCTCATCGACTGTCTCTTGCAATTTGGGCTTACCTCCATTGAGTTTCCCCTTGGCATAACTGCCTCCGTTGCTCAGCAGCGGCGATGGGTTGCGCGGAGCGAAATTGTTATTGCCATTAGATGAAGGCGGCTGCAGACCGGAGCGCTGGATGTTCAGCGAGCTGCCAGAGCTCTTGTGGGACAAATTATCGAACACAAACTCGTCCTCATCCTCGCTAATGACGCCAGGATCAGCTTCGCCGGCACGCTGGCCGCGCCTACGTCCGCTGCCACCGCCGACGCCGCCAAGACCTGAGGAGCTGTTGGGCGTACCAATGCTAGCAAAGGAGCCGCTGAATGAGCCACTGTCGTCACCATCCGGTTGCTTCTTCTTGCTGCGTATGTGCAGCTTGGAACTAAGAGACCCAGCTAGCTTCTTGATGCTCTTACGCTTCTCGCCTTGGCCAATGGAGAGCAGGCTACCGCCCACGGAACTGGCCAGCTGGCCAATGGAAGACTTGTGCTTGTCCTTCTTGCTCAGATCTGTCAGTGATCCGGATTTGACAACGAACGCAATGCGCACCTCGAGTTCTCCGCGCTCCTTATTCTTCTTCTCCTTGCCCGGCTTGCTCTCCAGCTTGAACCACTTGGCACGCGGCCTGTCGTAAACGTCCATGTCCTTCAGCGGCAGCGTCGCCTGGCCCAAGAACTCGTCGATGCCCAGATTGTTGCGATGCAGGCATGTCAGCGTTAACTCCGCCCGATTGCCCTGATCCGGAATTTTGCTAGAAACGAAAATTCGTATTAATACATATGCGAAAGTCTGCGATTGCACTCACAGTTCACACTCCTCATTCCAGTTGACACTCGCCTCGGCCTTGTCCTTGACCGATGTCTGGTACTTCTCCTTGCCCAGGGCAATTGTGACAAAGCAATTGTTGGTGCCATTCTTGCCTTTGGTCAAAAGACCTCGCGCACGCTGAACTGTAAATGGTAAATGAAAGCGATTTACAGATTAGACACAATGCCATGAGAATTGCAAAGAAAGGCGAAATCTAAATGAGCAGTTATGCAAAGAGAGTTACAGAAAGTGCAAATGAAGACAAGAAAGTTGATCTATATACAAAAAATCAACACAATTGTTATCTTATTATCGAGAGCTGTCCGCAATCTTAAATGAAAAGAAAATCATCTTACGAGCAACAAAATGCTGACAATTCGGAAATTCCGTGATGGAATTCTGAAACAAGTATTATTTATACTCGATTCAAGTATTTTTAAACAATTTATTGACTTGATGATCCGGTGAACGGTTTATAAGGTTCATTCCTATCAGCTGTATCCAGGCACTGCCGGGCAATGTCTTAATTTTGATTTGTCCGTCTCCATTTCCGGCAGCTGTGTCAACAGCGTCAACAACAACAGCAACGGTAAGGTTTCGAGAGCGTCGCCAAAAACCGAACAATCTAAAATTCGCATGGATGGATTGTGAGTCAGTTCTTGAGACGGACGGAGGGACGGATTGCGCTGCTTTTTGATAGCGACCTAAAAGTAAATTTTTAAGTCGCTTCGAGTTTCACTTGAGAGCGCCTCGTGACCTCGACGAATCCAAAACTAAAACCAAACTCATAGCCAGCATAGCTCGAGCATCCGGCTGATATGGAAACCGCAAAAAAAAAATACAAAAAACATTTGTTTTTGGCGTTTGTGGTGCGCAGAAAGTCGCAGCATTGTTTCAGATTCACGAACGACGACGACTCGAATCGGTTCCAGTCCAGTTACATATATGCATAGGCAATGAAAGAGACTCCATTTCACAGCTCTACTTAGACATAGGCACATAAATATTCAGATATCCATGAGTCGGGAATTCAACACAATCACAAAATAAAGGGAAACTCAAACCCTTTCGTTACTTAAACTGCATATTTTTGTATTAATTAGCAGCTTTATAGCTAAATATAGCACTAAATGTAAGAGTATGTCTTATAAGTCTACATATTGGACTATAAATTGCCATATAATGAGCTTTAGTTCATAATTTGAAGCGAGTTTCTTCTGATTTGATTCGCTTTGAGATTCAATGGGATTCCAGGATTGCGTTTTTATTTTACATCAAATTCAATTTCTTTTTTAACTAATCGATTTGCAATGACTTTTGCTTATTGATTATTACATCGCTATGCAAATATGCTTGGCACAAAAATGTTGTGCCGCAACGCAAATTGCGCAAATTTCAAACTCGTAACAGCAGCTAACTGCAAAAGCTATTGCTAGGCGTATAGTAAAAAGCGCTCAATAGAAAAGCAACGAAAACTTTTTGCTGTTTCTTTCTTTTTGTTGTGGTTGTTGTTGTTGTTTTCTTTTTTTCTCTTGCAAATTTGTTTGCCTTTTTATTTTTCGTCCATTACAAGTGAAAGAAGTGACGGTTGCAGAGTCGTTGCCTTTTAACCACTGTGGGCGTCTTGACGCCAAATAATTATTATTACATTAACATTTTTTCGCTTTGCGCGTTCTGTTTTAGACCCGCATTTATCACTTGTTGCGGTCGTGGCTTTTCTTAAGCCAATTGGTGGAGCTTTAGCGACGGACATCATCAGTTTCTTAGTCTACCCGTATATGTACATATATATACACACATACAAACATAGCATATGTAAATACATATCTGCAAAAAAATGAGGCTAGAGGCAGCCGAGAATGGCACACAGTGAAGAGCAAGAAGACGAATTGATGATCGCACGGAATGTATCAAATAAATATCGATAAGCCAGTTCCAAGTGGCGCTCAGTGCAATTTCGACCAGCTAGAGATGGGCGCGCATCACATTTTTACACAAATTTTCTGCACTAATGTCATTTGCAAAACAGAGCTAGTTCCATCGTCTAGCATACATATTGGTAAACTAAGAATTAAAATTCAATCAATATACTATCTTGTGTTGTTACTTATGAATGCAATTGGACGACTTGATGGGGTCACTGTATTAAAAGTATTTAATCATCTGTGCCTCGAATTTTTTTTTTCTCTTTGGGTGGTGGGGGACACTATGCAAATGGCAGCGACCAAAATAGAAATGGCAAAAGGTAAAATGGTAAATGCCAAATGGCAAAATTGGCCAAACAATGACAAAAACAAAACGAATAGAGTAAAGCGTGGAGAGCGCAAAGAGTGACAAAATTACTGAGAGCGCGCTGCTAGCAGTAAGGGAAACCGTTAAGTCGCCCCGTTTTTTTTTCGCTCGCTTCGCACGGCACTCAAATTGCGGCTTTCGTTAGCTCTGGCCTGGCTCTGGCATTCGGCATAATTTTCGCTTTCTGAGTCACGCTTTACAACCGAATGGCCTGTTCGTTCGTTCAATCTTCGATCTTTTATAGCCCGCCATTACAAACGTGCATGTGTGTGTGTGCCAAATCAACACCCAGAGCATTCTGTGCACTTAATGATATTCGATTTGTTAATGGAGATGATTGAGGGGGGAAACCGAGGTCAGCAGTAGTGAGAGCCATAAGCGGCGCTACAAAAGCGTTCAACACGTAATTGAGTGCTTGTTGAGAGCAAACAGAAGCCCAAGCAAGCCACACGCTAGCGTCATCAATGAATTGTAGGCAAATAGACAAACAAACACACCCACACAATACAAAGCCTGTGTGAGTCAGAGAAACAGAGAGAGAGAGTGAGAGAGATGATGAAAGCAGGTGGATAGATAGATAGTCGGTTCCCATTGTCATACAAGTCAACATACTCGATGTTAAAATAGTGAATGCTTACACACGCACACACACATACACATTCATATATATACGTGCAAACACAAACACGTACGCCCACTTACATATGTATTATATGTAGTAGTTAAAAAAGTGCTTAAAATGAAATTTCGTATGCAAAACAACATTAAATTGTAGCTGCAAAAGCTGTAATTATTTTTCGAAATAATATAAGCTGTGCGAAAAATCTATGTAATGTGAGTTCATAGTGAAAAGAAGCGAAAATCCCAACGTCAGGCGATTATATGTACAGATTAACTAACAATAATACATTGCATTGATTTTGTTTTATATAAGGACATTTAAAAATTACGTTATCTTAATTCGGCTAACATTCTCTTTTGAGCTTTACATTAGGTGATTAAATGAACAGCCAGCTTGAAATTGAAATTGAATTTGTCATCTCTAGAAAAGACATAATATCTCGCTTTGTCTAGTTTAATTACTGTTAAAACCGAAACAAAACAAAAAAAACTATTTGGTCACAATAAATTCTTGTATTATTCACATGTCTGGAATTTGCTAGTGTTATCTGCAAAGCCAACTAACAAAATTCTTCTATCATATATAATAATCGATAACAATGACTTGATGTATTTAGAGCTCTAACAAAAGTCACCACACACTAGTCCAATTTGATATGAGTTGGAAATAAGAAACTCGTAAATATATATATGTATATAACTACAAATATATAAATATATATATATATATATATATATACGTTTACCTATATATCACAAACATATGCATGTATTTATGTATCTGTGTTTGTTTATTGTCAATTATTTTAATGCTTCGCATGACCCGCAAACTCAAACTCACACAAAGGTAAATTCACACGTACATATCTGCACACACACATACACACATACACATGCAAACATATCTACTGCACCTTTTCAATAGTGAGAGAACGAGAATAACAAAAGCAACAAGTTAACAACTGAAAAAACTCAACTAGAAGATATCCTATAGTTTTTTATCGTTGCTACTAGATGAAGTAAAAACTAATTTTAAAATTAGACAAAAATCATTAAAAAAATAAAACAAACAAAAATATTTTTAGGAGTGCTTTTTTATTGACATACATATATATTATAATTTATTTAATAACTGTAACTTGTATGCTCGCATGTAGCATCCCAACTATTGATTCTATACAACTTTTGTTGCCTTTTTGGCCAATTCTCTACTTACAGGGTATAATAGAAACAACAACAGCAGCTCCAGCAGCAACAATGCAACTGTCAATTGTCGCTTTTGTGTTGGTTTTGCTCTTTTAACATATTGTTGGCCTTTGCTTCTCTCGAGGAGGTCAACATTTGAGGTTAATTCATTTCAATGAAATCATTGCCAAGCGTTGGGCTATAAATCCCGTCTGACCGCCCGCCCTCTCGCCAACGACTCCGCACTCCGTACCAGGAAATTCGTTTTGAAATATTTTTGGGGTTTCGAAAGAGACATTTCTAATAGATTTAATTGGGCTTCAGTTAGGTGCGATAACACTGCACAGCGATGATGTCAGTGCGCTTATCGTCATTATCATCATTATCTTAATTATCTCGAGTAGTCTTTAACTTAAATTCGAATTTGACAAAGAAGAGACAAAGGTGAGAACTTTGCAATCGGATGGAAACGATGGCGAAATACTCGTTCAAGAATCAAACTTGAGAGAGAGCGGGAGAGAGGGAAACAGAGACAGAGAAGGTTTAAGTATAAGAGAAGAAACCATATATCAAGAGCTCAGCCCTGATCAAACTTTATATCTTGTTAACGTAGGCCACGCCCCCTCCAGCAGGTGGAGTGTGTTTTGAGATTTTTAGAAAGCGTTAAAAGTGATTCACCTGCGATATTTATTCAGCGAATTGCCATATATGTGTGATCGTAATACCTGATCAGGATTGTGAACATAAACAAATATGCCCGTTCTCGCTTGGCGAGCGGGCATAGCAAAACTTAACTTGCGACAGTTAACAGTGGCAGCCAACCGTTAAGAGCCAAGCGACCTTATTATTGCCACAGACATCGGCATTGGGGAGCTGAGACTTTTTCCCCCACATGCAGCAACAGCTTCGCTGCTGTCGCCTTACTGCTCCCACTCCGCGACAACAACTGATCCAGCAACTGTTGGCAGTAAAAGTCGCATTACAAATGTACAAAATTCCCAACACGCACTTTGAGAGTTCGCTGTTCCACTTTCGACTGCGTGTC